GTTGTATTTAATAAAGTCCATTAATTAAAAAACTTCATACCTTTATATTTTGTGTGCATTTGAGTGTTATATCAATAAGAAGAGTAGTAATCTATTTAGCTTCCAATTTGTTAAGAAAACAAAATTTTTCCATTGATAAAGACACTTATCTCTAATTCCAAGAAACTATTTTTTGCGAGCAATAAAATGGGCTGCATATAAAACATGTCTTGGAATCTCCTTTTCTATTCTAAGTAATAAAGGGATTCTTAGATTTAAAGGGATTCTTCAACATTCTTAGATGGATCATACTCAAGAATAAAGTCCGGGTCTAGTATGAGGGTAAATGATGAAATATAATGATATTCTTTTTCTAATAGGCTGTTCTTCAACAAATCGATTTTAGCCTGAAAATCGGATATTAAGCTCATCATTTCCGATATCTTTTTTTTTAAGCAGGGTTTTTAGGTTATTGAGTTTTGCAGTGATATCGATTGAAAATGTCAAGTCAGCAAGCCACTCCATGCCATTCCAGATTTCGGTCGTAGTTGTCTTTTGATATGAGAAAATTTTTAATCTTAGCATTCCAACACACCTTGTTAAAACGTTTCTTTGACTCAGTCGCTTGACTTCTGAGACTGAGATATTTACCGGTCAGATTTTCTTGATGCATTGATGCATTCTCTTGAGTGCATGGAATTAAATTTGGAAAATGTGTCATCCTGCTTACAAAGCCAATAAACTTAGCTTTTTTCGTTATTATAGCCGGCGCAAAAGCAGTTATGATCGCGACGAGGTTTTTTTTTATTGGTAAGTTTTCTAAGTTTTAACTGCGTCATACATGTCTTGCCTTTGAGTGTGTTTTTACAATGTCAACATAATCAACAATGTTTCTTTCACGGAAAGATCAGGCAATACCATTGTCGTGAACATCATAAGTTGCGGTGAGTCAGTAACATCAATGGGTTTATCAAACTACAGGTAAAAATACGTAGGGTTTTCGAAATCAGATATTATCTATGCATAGATATCATTCGACATATCGTCCATCCGCCTTGCCACCATGTTTCGTGACAGAGGCAGATTTGTTAGCTGAGATTATTTAATTTTTGTTTTCAAATTCGTGAAATAAAGACTTTTACATTGCTCTTACATTACATTATTAATTAACATAGCTGGCTTTATAAGTGTCCAGTTTGAATATGCCTTTTTATGTGCTGCAAGTTTTATGTAACTTATTTTGTGAAGGATGATTTTGTATGATTCTTTGCTTCATTTTTTAGGGTAAAAAGACTGCTTTTTGAGCTTTTAAGAAAAATTTATTTCATTGATTTAACTTTATATAAATGAAACTTGCGAATATGTGAACACAAATGCAAAACGTGACGTGTAATTGTAACTTTTTATGGTTGCATTTTATATTAAGATTAGAGTAAACGTTTTGTAGGATGGCGATATTGTGATTGTGGCTGGCGGCGCCTAAAGATAGAATTGCAGGATATTAGGCGTCTGCAAGCTACGGGTTGGACACCGCTGGTCTCGATGTTGTCTATGGGACGGTGTGTTGGACAACCAGCTTGTTCGCTGAGATTTTAAACCATATCGAAGTGTTAGTCTCAGTGGCCTTATCCACTCAGTTATTAGTCCTTTTATTAGCAAACGTTTCATTCGCTAATTAATAATAATGACGCATTCTCAGTTGTCTGCTTTTGTGCACTGCTTTCAGAAAGAAATAATGAGTACTTAAAAATTATGTCGCGCATACGACAAAAACTAATTATAATTTTTTGCATCTCGAAATTAGATGTATTGTTCTCGCTATGAGAATTTCGTGGCTTGGAGAATGATTGCGGCAATTTCTTAGCGTAAAATTTGTATTGCGAGTTTCATGTGCAAACGATTTAGTGTAAAAAATATCGAATAATCTAATATTTTATTCTTCTTAAGTAAGGATAGGATGTTATAGCAAACTAGGATAGGGTATTATAACAAATTAATTTTATTTTTTTGCCCCCAGCTCGTTTGGCATTGTTACTTTGAACAACTCATTTGAAATCTATGATTTTATTACTCTGTGCCTTGAATGTTTAGGTACTGATCCTTAAAATCGGATACCTGTCTTAATTTTTTAAATTCAGACTATTACGGGTTTTAAACTGGAATTTTATTACGAAGGTCAGATTGTATTTTTTTTAAATATGAGTGATTTTTTATGTAATTTAATTTTTTGACTACCTAAAAAATGATTTGTAGAGCTTTATAGTAAGTTCTTGAAATACAATCGGAAGTTTTCAAATTTTAGATTTTTAAATACTTTTCTGTTAAATGCCCTTCAACAAACACTACTTGATTTTAAAACTTTTGTATAATAATCCTAGAAAGAAAACCGAGCCACTTAAAATATTTTTAAATTTAAAAAGAATAGAAAAACAAATAAAAGCTTTGGTAATGATAATTAAAAAAAAAATATGGCTTTTTATCATTAGAAATGACTGTCGAAGACTCTTTCTTAAATTTTGTATTGTTACATTACTCTGACTTATCTTCTGTGCAGTTTGATAAACATTGCCAAAGTGCGAATTCAAATTGTTTTCCTCTTATTTACTGTACATTTCAAACAGTTTTCCGCATTTTGCCATTTCTTGAACGCATAAGATGGTTTATTTATCTCAGCCGCCCAACCGGTATTGCGATTAACAGCGCTGACTGCCATATCGAAGGGCCCGGGTTTGAATCCCGGAGAAGGCATGGATGTTTGCAAATGTATAGTGTCTGGGCGGCATGGGGGAACTCTAAATATGCAGTGAGCCGAAATTCCTCTCGAGAGGTTAGTGAGGGATGGGAGACCCTCGGATCCATCAAAATTAGGGGTGGAACCGAGGAAGGTTGTACTGTTACCTGTATGGTTGTCAACCAGCTACTGGCGCAGGTCTTGCACTTCTTGCCACCATGAATTTTATGGACTTGTGCTAATGTTACTGCTAGACAAGTGAGATAAGTCACAACAAAAACAACGGAGCATACATTAAATCATTCCGTCATTGCTTAACTAAATGAGTAATAAAAAGACAATAAATGTACTTTTTAGTGGTTTTTAATTTTTTTATCGCTGAATAATACATCTGATTGACAAAATTTCAGTTACATTTAATACGACATATATTTGATAGTTATGCATATTTGAAACATTATGGGGATGTATGAAAGGTGTTCTATCGCCATAATTAAGGCACACTGCGAAAAAAAAGGGGGAGGGACGGTTTTTATATCTTCTGTTCTACCGCTTCGATTCGCGAAATTCAAATTGCGTTTTGCATGTCTCTAAAGCGCGACTTAGAATATATATTAGATTTATGTATAACATTGCTCTAACATTGGTATTCTGACAAAAAATCGGACTTTTTCTGAAATAACAAACCAATTTTTTTTCCATATTTCGATTCTACGATCAAATTATGCCTAAATATAAATTTTGTAATTTTGATGCGAAATTTACGGAGAAATTGAAAAATTTATCTTGGCACATTTTTTTTCAGTTAGAGCCAAGAAAGTTTCACTTGGCGAACTTCTTAATTTATTGCAACCTATTTTCCTTTCCTTTTCTTCATTTGTCCACGAGCGGGAAAAAAAAAAAAAAAAATCATCGTTCGTACATTCAGATAATTTTAACAAAGTGCATAAACCACATTTTCGTTATTATCGCTTATAATAAATACGCCAAATTTCAAAATGTAAATTCCCGTATATCTTAGAAGGTTTTGAATAAAAAACTCTTTTTTTTTTTTTTTTTTTTTTTTTTTTGTAGGTTTGCTTAGAAATACATCTACCTTAAGATGACAGCAGAAATTTTATAGTTTATAATTCAAAATTGTTTTCAAATATATAAAAAATTATTTAAAAATACAAATTTTAAAACTAAATCATAAAATTAGGCGAATTTTATTTGGTATGATTTTAAATTTCGAAATATGAAAGGAAGAATCAAATAAGTTTAATAAAAAGAAGAGAGATTAAATATATATCAAATTCAATTAACATTGAGGAACTAAAATTTTGAGAGCTGATTTTTTAAAAACTATTCGGGCGATTTCTGCCAAACTTGGCACCTTGGCATAATTTGAATCGTAGAATCGAAACATGGCATAACATTTCAGGAAAAGTCCGATTTTGGGTAAAAATACCTATATTAGAACAATAATATATATGTATATATATAAATGTAATGTATGTCCTAAGTCGCGCTATCGAGACATGAAAAACGCAAGTTGAATTTCGTCAACTGGCCCAGTAGAACGGGAGATATAGAACTGTCTTCCCATTTTTTTCCTCGCAGTGTACCTCGAATCAGACTAGTTCTATCGCCTTATACCTCGAACAAGAATAACTTTTAATTGTGTTGATGTTCCTAAGCACTTTAACAAGTGAATGAAATACGATATTTTACTAATACAGCTGTTTGTCAGCATTTAAAATAGATTCAATTTGTAGTATATTCAGTTGATATTTTTTACGAATATATGCGCCATTATTGCAATTATTAATAAAAGATATATTTTATATCATATCTTACGAGTTTGGGCTCAGAATTGTTCAGTTTCTGGTTTATTTTAAATTTTACCTTACAATGGTTTTAAAATATAATTTGGAGTAAGATAAAATCCATGTTTTGGTAATTATTCGGAAACTATAGAATGCAAATTAAAGCGTAACATTTAAAATACTGGCAGAACAGAAAATTCACTTCTTTTTATTAATTTTATTATTATTATTATTATTATTATTATTATTATCTGTAATAATAATTGTAAAGATCTGTTTTACACCTAATCAGTGTAAAGGAGATGTTAAATCATGCTCATTGCTAATGTGTTTGGAAATATTAGGCCTACCTGACGTTGAAAGTTATGTAGTGAAGCAACAAATAAAGTACCAATACTGATCCTCTTGCTTGTATTTTATACTAATATTGACCCCTTGCTTATATTTTATATCAAATATTCTTTCGTTTCTTTTTTGCGTAGGAACTTTTAAAGATGATGGGCATGACTGATGGTTTCTATTGGTGTAGTACATTTGCAGATTATTTTGGAGTTGGTGCCATAATGATATTAATAATTACCACAGTATACAAGAGTCCACTAAAATGTGATCATGTTTATGTGAGCCATTCTAATTTCTTCTTGCTTCTGGTGTTGTTGCTCCTGTTCTTGGTTAATTTGATATTATTTTCTATGGCATTTACTACATTCTTCAACCGAGGTAAGATTTATATTCTCAGATTTTTCCAGATGCAATATTATGTTCTCAGAAGCTTATTTCTTTACTAAATGTATCGATTATTGCGACATACTTATTAGTAAAAATAATTGCTTTGTATAATGGTACATGAATATTACTTCAAACTGGTGATAGAAATAATTTTACATGGTAGTTACAAATTTGTTGCATATTGTTTAATCATATGGATTATGATTGTTTTCACATGTTTGTTTGATTCAGTATTTTGTGTTTTGAAGTTCTACAGTTTTTTCAGTCAGTTTTGTGATGTTTACATTTCGTGCAAGGAATTCATTTTTCATATAGCATATTATTGCACAGAGTTCGCATTTGCTTCAATGCTATGAATATGCATGTTGTAGTGCAGTTACATTAATTTCAATTTTTTAAAATTTATTTTATGATTGAACAAGTACTTAATTATTACATACACAGTTCTGTTTACGATTTACGCTATCGTATGTTTCGCTAGTTGTAATATAACTGGTTGTGAGAGAAACTGGGAGGGATTGTGTTATATGGAGGCACATAACTCTTTCCCTTTTGCTCCTAAGAACTCTATTATTTTTTGTATTTTTATTGGAAGGTGCCTACTTGCTGTTGCATATCTTAAAAAATGATGCTGGTTCTGAGTTGTTTTTTTTTAAGATGTAGTTTCTCTGTTATGGGACAATCAGAAATGTAGTGTTCTGGATCGCCCGTATCTCCACATACCAATGTGTCACTTTCAGAGGGGTTTCTTTCATAGAAATATGTAAAGAAGGGCCATGTCCAGTAATATACCAATTTATGTAAGGGTTAATGCTATTGTTCTTTTCTTTGACGCTTGGTATAAATCTAACATCTCTTCTGCCTTGTTGTGCGTTTTGCCACCAGTATTCCCATCTTTTAATCATTATCTCATTTAATGATTTTCTTAATTTGGGATTTAAGGAATGGGATGGTAGTTGGAATAGAGTTTTGATTGCTTGCTGCTACTTTGGGTGTGCTTTCTGCTACTTTTGTATTGGGGTTTCTTAATCAAGAGTTAATTAATTGTCTGATAGTAGGTGATTAGTGTGCTTGGTTTGCAATTGCGTGTATGCTTGATAAGGAATCTGTTTTGATTTTCACTGCAGGCAAGTTATTACTGATGCTACAGGATTACGTTTTGGATTGCCAGTGCTACTTGCTTGAAAAAACTGTGTTATTGCTATTTAGATGATATTTGAAAATTATCGGCTGTTGGTATATTTGATGTATTATTATGGCACATTCAACTCCTTCTTCATTTTAGAGCCATCTGTAAATATTTCCGTATTGAATATTTCTTCGGTGTTGTCGTTGTGGTTGAATCTAAGTCGAATATTTGGTTCTATAGTGGGATGAATTTCGTAAGGGGTTTTCGGTTACTCATAGTTGTTGGACTTGAAGTGGATATCATCTATTGTGGAATCTTTCTTTAGTCATAGAACTCTATGTGTGGTTACACTTTTTTTCCGCTGTAAGGAAAATGGGAGGGATTTTTGTAAGCGCATACAGGAATGTATTGAAAGTCGTTCTATAGCTCCTTGAAATAGTAAATAGAAATGGCCTTTGAATCGCCTAAAGTTTTGTAATTTTTCTTATATTTAGAGGAAAGTCCAAATTGCGCAACCGTAAAGAGCAATTTTTTTCAATTACTGTATTGAATAAAATTTTATGTAGATGCAGGCTCAATCCACAGTTAAACCCCTGCATTCTTCTGAACTTTTTGCCGCTAGTTGCATTTTTTTCTGGAAAATGTCTTAGATGAGGTATCCAGTTGAATTTGTGGTCGATAATGATTCCAAGAAATTTCGTCTGTTTGAATACTTTGACCTTTTCTCCATTTATGGTGAATTTTGAAGTTTTCGTAATATATTGTCCTGGTTTATTGAAGACTATTGCGTGAAATTTTTCTGTCGACAGTGAACGTTTTTGCTTTTGGCAAAGTTTGTTGAAGACGCCGAGGCTTTCATTAACATTTTTATCATGATTTCCTTTGTTCTTCCACTGATGACAAACGCCGCGTTGTCGGCAAACGCTATGGCTTTGGTATGGTAAGACCATACATGGGATATGATCTTGTTAAAAGTTAAGTCTCCAAGATCAGCACTTAGGCATGATCCTTGCGGTCAGTCGCGTTGTTGTGTTCTTTCCACTAATCTACTATTACGCAGATTATGTTTTTCCTCTTATTGAGGCAATCTTCATGGATACTGTAGATATTTTGGGAGCATTCGATATCCCTCAGTGCCTGTTTGACTGCAGGCTGCAGGCCACCACAGGGAGTCGAATGCTTTCCTTACGTCCAAGCAAAAAGGAAAGAGTGTAAGATATTGACAAATAATGGCCCTTTCAAAAATCTTTCCGACTGCTGGAAGGAGATTTATAAACTGTATGCCTCTGTATTTCCAGAGTCTTTTTCTTTTTACTGAATAGGATAACTTGGCCTACTTTAAGGATGTCTAGAAAACTCTTAATTGTAAACATTGGTTAAATAGGTCCTTTATTATGCTGGGATATTTATTTGCAGGTTGATATCTATGTTACATAAGCCATCGGGTCCTGGCGCTTTCCTTTTCTGTAGTTTCTTTATAATGGAATTGATCTTCTTTCCTGTGAATAGCGGGTCATTTTCCTCGTTTGAAAGCTGGTATCATCCCGTAGTGTCCTCTTTTTCTAATAACATCGTGAGGATTTTCATGACATTTTCGATAAAATTTATGTGGCTACAGCTACATCTATGATTTCATTTGAAGATCAGCATGTATAACCGTATTACGTTAAACTACTGTGCATTTAAGATAATTTTTAATACTTTATTTTGGAAATAATATAAAATTTGTGGATTAGAACTTGCAGGTGCAACCCAGGCAGATACTGAGTATAGTAGCATCGGCCTGATCGTCTGTAGATATAGTATTCTCTTGGTATTGGTGGCGAGGTGTGACTTTCTGTTTATGATAGGGTAAATACTCGTAAGTAATGCTTTATGGGCTTTGTCTTGTATATTGGTGATGTGATTTCAGAAGGAAAGCCTTTCATCCATATAAACACCTAGATACTTGAAAGTATTCGCTTTTGGAACATATGAATATCTCCAGTGTTGTGCCTGAGAGAGTATTTACAAAAGTAAATAACGCGACCCTTTTGTTCATTCATTTTTATTTTCCAAGCTTTATATTATAGAGAGATGTAGTTTACAAATTCTTGTAGTACGTTTCTAGTATGACTTATAGACTTTGTCAGTATAGCTGAGTCATCGGGTTAAATGTATAAAACAATAGTATTCTTTTTAAGAATGTCATTCATGAATAGGCTAAATAACAGAGGAGTAAAAACCTTGGGAAAGCCTGCTTTTAATTTCCCTTCACGTTGCAAGGTTATTGCAGATTTTTACTTGGAGAAGGATCTTTCAGTAAGATAACTGTATATCAGTAGGATATTGTCCACTGGACGGTTAACAGATATGAGTTTGGTAAGCAAGCCATAATGCCAAATCTTATCAATCGGCTTCTCGATGTTCCGAAAAATTCCAACCGCAGTTTCTTTCTTATTTAAGTTGTTACAAATAAATTTAGTAATTCTTAAGATTTGCTGAACAGTGAAGAAAGCTTTTCGGAATCCGAATTGGTACTCTTTGATAGTATTATTTTCAGTAATGTAGACACATACTTATTTCTTCGAATAATTACGCCATTGCTGGTAAGAGACTTGTTGGATTGAGATTTTGACGTAAATTTCTGTTCTTTCCTGGTTTCCTGATTGCATGCTTCTATGGAGTTGGAAAATATTTAAATTTGATGCATGCATTTATGATCTTAATTAAAAAAACTTTTGCGTGTTTAGAAAGTTCTTTCAGTGTTTTATTGTTGATGTTGCCATTCTCGAAGCCTTCTTGGCATTGACATAGTGAATAATATTCATTTACCTGAACGAGGCAAGATTACTTGTCCTTCCGATTCGTAGCAAAACGCAGTATCTGTTGCTCTATTGGTGCTTACTTCTAACTCTACATTATTTTTTGACGTGAGATAGTAGTCTTTAACATGGTTCATTATGTTAATGCCATTCGCATGCTGAAAATCATTTTCTGTGATTTACTGCTTATACGCAGATGGGAAAATATTTGTGATATCGGCTACGTTATGTATTTTGATGTTATGATTAGTGATTGGGCCAATAGTGGACTGATTTCTATTGAGAGATTTTGCTAGCTTCCACGAGGAAAATTTTTTTTGGAGTCGAATTGAATTCGCAGTTTTAGCGTATACAAATGGAGTCTTGCTTAATGCTATTTGGCTATCATTTCTGTGTGGAAATAAACACAAAAATGCCAATTTTTATGCAGTCTGGGGATTAAGAAACCAAATTTTTATGACTTCTGTAAATTTTATATGTTATGGGCGTTTTGTAGCAACAATTATTTTTTTGTAGTAAGTGTTATAATATTATTATTACTAATTAAGTGCAATAATAAATAATACGAAATTAAATTTTGAGAGTACTAGTTGTTCTAGCAATATATACATAAATATATAAATACACAATGTTAAACACGGTGTAATCAAACATTTAATTATAAATAATTATCCCCATACTCAACATATCAGCTTAGATTACTAAAAATAAGTTTCTCGCTGTTTTAAGTCTTTAACACTAGGCAAAATGAATAAAGAAATATTCTTATTATATATCCCTCCATCTTATTTCGTAAATAGAGTAGACGCCGCATAATGTGATCGCGGTTAATGTATATTGTTATCGAATTTCAGAATTCAGTTATCAATTCGTATATTGTTATCGAATTTCAGAAGTCTCACTCTTTTGTATGCGAAAAGATGGAAAATACGTCGCTGTGAACACGAGTTCGTGATTCATATAGTTCTCAACCGGGCTGCGAATTCTCCGTTGGGGAAATTTTTCCATTTTTTTATTTTCTGATGGGAAGGAGTCGTCACTCGTTTATTTACCTGTTAAATTGTTACGTATGGCTTTATTGGAAAGGTCAATCCAAACATATAAAACAGCTCAAGTATCACACAAAAGCGATGGTATACAATAAAAGAAGAACAAACATTTAAAGTAAGAATCGGAATAAATGAACATGGGAATAAAAATAAAAAGTTAAAAATTTAAACAGCAAGGAAAGGGACATAAGAGATGTAGTCTTTATAAGGAGTTCATGAAAGCTCTGGCATTCCAGTGTAGTTCACTTATCTCACTACGTTTCTGAGACTCTTTATCTAGTTCTGGGCATATAAGAAGATGCTCTGCATTCATGATGCCTCAATAGCAAATTTGGCATATACTAGATTAAAGGATGCCAATTTTATCAAGATTATGTGCCATGCAATCGTGGCCTGTTTGCGGGCTGAAGTTTGCCACAGCTTCTTTAAGGGTTTTTTGACAAAACCTTTTCCCATGTGTCTTACAAATTTACCTGCTAAGTGTTTAGTTTTAGTTTGTAGAGCCTCATTAGATTACGTTTTGAAGCAGGAGACGTGAAAAATGAACAATTCCGTCGCCGGACTCGAGACCAGACCTCGCCGAGTGTGCTACCGTTACACCACGAAGGCATGCTGAAAGGAGGGAGAAAATACCTTACATACTTCCCCTTTTAAAGGGCGACTGGGGATTAGGGGACCCATTCGCCAAATCCTGGTGGTGACAAGTTATCGTACAATAAAATTATACATTTAATTTAAAATTTAATAAATTAATATCAAGTTCAGATAACTATAGTTACCTAAAAATTGCTATACATTCATTCAACGTATATTAAACTACATCTAATATGATATATCCGAGTTTTAATACAAATTTTAAGTAATCATTCAAGAAGGTGGGAAAAAGATGCGAAAAATTTAATCTGTCTGTTATAGATAAACAAACTAAGCTATTTGAAAACAACAGTTCGTAGTTAATCTGATTCATTTAAAGAAAAATGCGTTTAATTCATGATATATCTAATTAAGAGCGTTCAATATTTTCATAGAATGACGTTATACATTTTTTTTTTCGTTTTTAAAATAGCATACAGAAGATATAAAACATTCCCATGTTTATCTAATACCCTAAAAATGTTTCGCTATTCCACCTGGGCCGTTGCTATTGATAATCTACTAGTAAGCCATAAACATTAAACGTTAAGCTCTAAAAGAGCCTTTTAGAACGACTATTAAAATTAAGGCCTTTAATTTTTTAATTATTTACTTTATATTTTATTTTATTTGTACATTAAATATATTTTGAATATTTTAATAATTTTACTCAATTTCATTTTCAGTTATCTTTGCAGTCATTGGAATAGTTGTTTTGTTCAATGTTGCATTCCTGCCAATTGCGTTATTTTGCTTTCCCGACAATTTTGATATACCTACATATTTACAGTTGCCACTGGATGGTAGGTTAGCAATTTGCTTGTTTCCACCTGGAGCATTACTGACTATATTTCATATGGTGAGGGAATATGAATTAATTGGTGAGTTTTTGCCTTTCGTTTGTAGTATTTTAATATATAATATTATATAATGTTCTCTAATTTTGACGTTAGATGTAGGATCAAACTGAAACTCACATTGTTAAGTCTTAACGCATGAAAGTGAATATTCAACGATACAGTTGTATATTTTGATAAAATAAGGAGATAAATACGAGCTAATATAATGTTTCAAATTATACGACATTTCAGTCCTTAAATTATATGAAAAAAAGCGAGGGAAAATTGAAAAGCACAAAATACAATGTATACAAAAAATTAATTTACAATCATATGGATATGACCGCTCAATGAAGACATTTTGTTATTATTTGGATTATGGTGACACACACAAGTATATCTGTTAAGGGTAAAGATGACTTCTTCGATTATTTTCTAAGCGAAACTGGCTCCTATTCTAGACAAGAAGAGAAACACGCTAATGTGACAATCAAAATCGTAAAAAGCAACCTTGTATTTAGCGTTGGTATAATGAAACACTCAATCGATTTCGAGGGCAGCTAAAGGTCCCTCCTCATCAGGAGAAAGAAGTCCTTATCAGCACTGCACGTGGTTATAACTAGATTTTTAATCAGAGTTGCACTGGCCGCCTACTTTTACTGAGCCAGGCTATCTGATCAAACATAAAGATATTAGCGATTAAAATAGGGAGCGAGGGGAAAATGCATTTACGCTCAAATCTGAACTTTCAAATAATGGAAAGCAACCACTGAACGGATTTTTATACCCTCTGGTATACCAAAGCGAGGAGGTACGCCATTATCGGCAAAATAAACTGAATTAAAATAGTAATTTTAAAGGCATTAGGAAGGACTGGATGGACTTCATCATAACTGAACTGCTAAATCTTTGAATGTGAAATTCACAAAGATTTTAGAAGTTCTATAGGGGCGATGAATCAAATCATGCCCCTATAAGAAAGCCTTTAAATTCTCCAAAATTTCGGAAACGCAGAAGGATATAATCGCCACCCTAATTACCCATAACGTTTAATTTTTACAATACATCTATGGGTTCGAATCTTGCAAAAAAGGAAAATGAGATCTTCGTGAAATTAATCTGATACAATATCATTATCTCTAAAAGCTGATAAGGGGCGGACAGACGTTGTTATGGACAAACACCTATATTACTGGAGTCTCAAATTGATAAATGAAGGCCCATACTGCGATCCTAAAAGATCCTTCAATTCGGACCTCACGAAAAAAAAGTGCTATTAAATCTTCCCCACATTCTGCCAACTCAGTTGAAGAAATCACTTATCCACCATTACTAATTTGCGCTAGACTTTATGCTCTTCCAAAAGTCACAAAACCGGTATTCCTTTTCGACCAATTGTTTCCAAACAGACTACTGCTTCATACCTTTGGCCAAATATTTAGTTTCCAGATTTTCTCCCTACTTGCTAACATATTCACACTGCAAAATTCTGTTGAAGTCATTGATAAACTTAAAAATATTTCTCACTTCATTCCTTATGGTTTTCATTTTTTTAAATCACTGTTTATAATTTTCCGGTCGAAGGAGCATAAATGTCTTGAAACTAGGCTCGGGAATTCACTTCACACATACTGAAATTAATGAGTTGGTTTTTCGCTTACTAAAGTTCTCTAAGTCAACCCACTTGTTTTCCAAAATGCATATTTCGTCAAATTGAAGGATTGGCTATGGGTAATCCTCTCAGTCCGGTACTTGCTGACATTTATATGCACTAATTTGAGATGAAATTATTTGATAAATTATCTTTTCGTCTTTGGATTCGGTATGTTGACACTTTCGCACTTTTTGACGGTTATAAAGAGGATTTATCCGAGATTCTATCTATTATGAATTCAATTCATCCAGCCATCCAATTGATAAATTCTCGCGTACTTTCTCGCTTCGCTTGAGCTTCGCACGCGTACTTCTCGCTTCGCACTCGTGCTTTCTCGCTTCGCTTGAGCACAGTACGCGTGCGGCAAGTGAGCTCCACATTTACTCGGTAAAAGTGCTGTATTAAATGAAATAGGCATAATTTATATCAACGGAAAGATCTTCGAGAAACTTCAATTCGGTGTCAACTACCTGTGGCTACCCGAATAGTTCCAGAGATATGGTAATATAATGTATTTCCATGTCTGAGTTTACCATTGTTAAGGAGTGATCAGCTCAGTGAAGTGCCGCTCAGACGCGTAATTTTTTAAAGGATTTCTGGCACCTTTTACCATCCAACTTTAATTACATACCAACAGTAAGCTGGTACCTTCCGCTTGCTTCCGGTACAAGTCTCAAGTCTGTAGTGTGATAGGAGTGCTTTTTATATGTTTTATAAAGTGTTCTACAAGCGCCATTTTCATGGTTTATTTTTTAATATCTCTCTTCTAC